ATTTTTTGTATTTTTCCCCTAATCTTTGTATATATTATTTTCCTTACCTCCCTTTTTCATTTTCTGTTCCTTGTTAAACAATATACTGCATTTTTTTTCCAAAGTGTCTCTCTCTCTCTCTCGGGGGAGGGAGAGAGGCGAGTACATAGTTTTGTTCCATGTGGGTCCTGCTCTGAACCCCTTTTTACACGGAACCAGGACACGCAATAAGAAAGATAAAAAAATTAAAAGGGGAAGAAAGTTCTACAGCTTGTTTCTCACAACTGAATTTTCAATTTGGTTTCACTAGCACCAAACAACAAACTCCCTCCCCAGACACATTCAGTGTTTGCTAAGCAACAGCAAATCTCTTGGCTTTTATTCCCTAGACAGCTACAACTTCTGGGACCCATTACACAGAGTAAAAGCAAGAACAAAGTGCATTATAAAACATATTAACAGCAACCTCTGCATCACAGCGTTGTTACAGAGAAAACATGAAAATACTGGCTCTGTTTATGAAGGCAGTAGCTAGTTCATTCTCATGGCAAGAATTCTGGAAGAATACTGTGGAGACCTGCTTCAGCTCTCAGACCTTGATTCAAAAGGACACAGTGTTTTAAGTCTAGCTTTAAATACATGAACAGTCCTGCTGAATTTGTGCTTAACTTTACTACTATCCCTACGCACTTCGACAAACTAACCTTCATTCAAAGTCATGAGTCCCTGAAATTGTAACTTGTCATCAAGGCACTCGAGATATTGTGCCCAAAAACTCAGTGCCACACAATCAGTACAAAATTTTACAACATAGTGAGAAAAGAGTAATCTTTTGGATCCTATGAAAGGACAAGGAAGCAGACACTGAAGTTTTATTTTGTTGAAGCTTTTGAAGAAACGAAAGGTTCTGATTTCTCCTAGCTGATAAAGTGCATAATCACAGAAGAGCTGTGCAGATTAATTGTTACAAAAGCATTTTGATTTCTACAGACATAAAATCCTCTTGAAGTAAAGGGACTACTGCTGTGCAGCACTACCAGAGCTGAAATATGAGCTTGCATTTTTCTTTTTCCTAGTGCGGCACAGCATGAATATGGTAACTACAGAGGGATTTTTGAAAAGCTGCAGGCAACAAAAACTGAAAAAAAAAAACAAAAAAAACAAAAAACTGGCAATGTTCCACTTGATTGTGAAGTTCCTGGGTTCCAGCTTTAATTCCAAGAAAATATGATTCAAGTTTCAGGTGACAAAAAATCCTGCTTTATCCAGGATAAGGTGAAGGTGTCCTCACAGATGTGAATACTTCCACTGAGGAATGCTGAGGGTCCTTTCTGTCTGCTGCTTAAGTTCACCACAGTATTTTATGGAGAATAACAGCAGTGTACAGCAAGATTTCAACCTGAGCTGGAGCCTACTCTACAGGTAGGTTCTTCTTCACATCTGAAAGTGACTTGAACGATTTTATCTACACTGATAATTCTTCAGACTGTTCCTCGTACACCAACTGAGAAGCTTTTGGAAATCTATGATAACCTAGAGAGTCGAAGCAAATGGTCTTTCTCACCTTCTAACACAATGAAAAGTGCTCAAGAAGTAAGCATCACAGTGGTGATTTTGAAAAGTGAAGGGAATCCAATGAAACACTTGTCTTCACATTACTTCACATCCCATTATCCCCACCTCATCTCTGTCAGGAAGAAAGAAACAATTTACACTGCAAAAACTCAGATCAAACTACCAGTTTAACTAATTCATCTATTTGACAGCCAAATAACCACCATCGAATTTCTCTATGTACTCTTTAATGACACTTTGTCTTCAAAATTCAGTTACTGATTCCTTTTTGCCGTAAAACCTAAAGTAACAGGCAACTACTTGACTGATGATGGACAAGGTCTGTTTACCAGGCAAATCATGGTTTTTGTATGCTAATGTGTTTGCATTCAGCTTCTAGAGTTCAGACTGAATCCTAAGATCTCTGGTGAAAAGATTAAGTTTTGTTCTGCCAGCAGGGCACAGTGTCTTCAGAAGCTGATTTCACCAGCTCCTGCAGTGATTTGTTGTTGAGCAAAACAGGGATACTGCATGTGCCTGCCCCATACCCACTCCTTACTGTGTAAGGCTTATCTTTTTTTTTTTTTTTTTAAACCACTCATCTGTGCTCTTTGTTATATATATCACAATAATGTTAACATTTATTTCTGGGACTAACGCATGTTTGAGATTAAAAGGGAGCCAGCTACGTATCAGTGACCTGTCCTTCAGAACATCCACCTGCTCCGGAAGACATCCCTGTATGCTCTCCTGTATTGCCCCTGCTTGCTCTCTCTCAGGAACCATATATCCTAGTGAAAACTTAACCTACCTCTCTTTAGCATTTTGTCAAAAGTCACATTGCTCCCTGTAGAGAATTTCACTTTTCAGATTTTGCCACCATACCTAAAATAATCCTGTCTGGAATGTATCTGTTGCTACAACTTGTCTTTCCAATTTCAGGCTTCCTTGCAACAAAAGCAGTGCAAAACAGGAAGAGCCACAAAAAAAACCAAACAAACAAACCCAAAACCAACCAACAACAACTCAACAACAAATAAAGGAAACAAAACAAATAAAGAAGAACTCCAAACCCATCACAATGCAGGCTTAGAATCAAAGTTTAGATGAAAAAGAAAAAACAGCTATGGCAGAGTGAGGTGAAAGCATATACACTCAGCCTTTTAAAATGGGAAAACATACTAGAACTGCAAATTAAAACTCTTTAAACAATCTGAGCAAATGGCATGAAAATTTCTTCCAGGTTTATGAAATTAACACAATGCAACAGAAGACTCAGTCAGAGGGAATACAAATCCATCTGTGTAATGAAATCACATGAAGGGATGTTTATGAACATATTTCATAAAGGCAGTAAGTTAAGTAAAGGCAGTGTTATTCTGCACTGAAAAAACCCAGCATGCTTGGTATTACTAAATTCAGGTAACTTCTGAATTAAGCAGTCTCTTCAGTGAGTGCAAAACACATTTTAGAGTGCATTTTAGAAAACTGGAGATGCCTTTTGAATTGAATCCATTTCAGAACAGTAAACCCATGAGTATGTTTCTATGGTAATGACGAACGATCACTAGAAACACTTAATCTGATAACATTCCAAGAGAAAACGATGC